TTCTTTTGTTCCTCCTTCAAGGTAAGAAGAATGCATGTTTAGTTATAAATGTATGGTGTTGCATAACTACATTTGAATGTTATGGTTTTAAAGAAATTCAAAAAGTGCATTTTTTACGTACTTCTGATTTGAAGAATACATTTGCTTATTTCAGGAGCTACGTTTAAGGTTGCCAGAGGTGTGGTTTGACTAATGGATGTACAGTGCCGCAACCCAATGAGACCTTGGGGAAGTTTGCCCCCCTGACTCAATCTGGGTGTACAATTTGGATGACTAAGAAATAGATTACTATTATTATTATTATATGCTGATTTTTTTAAAGACATGTAGATTCTTAAGTAAAATAGCCTCAATGGCAATTTCCATTCTTGACTACAATCGAATTGTACATTTTCATATCCTAATTATATAAAGGCCTCATACTCGGACCGCTACAGCATCCAAATCCAAAGCTTTGGTTTTCATAGCTTAGCAAATATACCTTGAACTCCGAAGTCTGAAGTCTGAACCTCCTGGCATATTTTGATTTCACCCGCTTGTTTTATTTACAATGCTAAGTCATCTGTATGGATTAAGATGACCTATTTGTATTAAGAAGTTGTCTGGATTAAGTGATACTCGAATACCAAACCATTTACTCTGTGTTCTAAATAAGAAGGTTGAATTATACGATAGTATTAAATAACAAATATACCCCTGTGTTTGAAACCTCTTCATCATTAATCAATGGAACCAATTGAAAAAGGAGCCATTTGAAGCTCTTCTCCATTAATCTGGAGCCATCAACTTCACAGGGTATCTGATGTCATTTCGGAAGAAAATCAAACATATCTACATTGCCATTTGCCTAAGGAGAAGGGAGAAGACTAGTGGGAGATGAGGGAAACAAGAGAAAGTGAGAAACAGAGGGAGATGGAGGCTTCAAACCTGTTTGGATATTGGTGCCTTAGGCCAAACTGTCAATTTTTACAAAGCTAAACGCTAGTATTTGCAGCGTTTTGCCGTGAAACCGCCAAAAAACAAACAGTGGCTACTATCCCATTTATATTTAGATCATCTATTTCAATTTTTCATTTTATCCTAAAAAATAGCTTTAGGTTTGATTTGGAAGATGCAAGAAAACTTAAAGATTTGTCTTCTACTGCAGAATTGTATGCGGCTCTTTTGACCCTCCATTCATTTGATAGAAAACTCAGCACCAAACATCATAGAGGAAGAAGCGATGGAGAAGGGAGAAATACACAACATGAAATGAGCTGACGGCCACACCCTGCCCGGGTTGGAGGATAACGATGAAAGGAGGGTTAAAAAGAAGACTGCACATAAATATGCATGTGTGAACTAGGGCTGTTAACGAGCCAAGCCGAGGCCGAACACCCAAAGATTGAGTTCAGCTAGATAAGGAATTAGTGATGTTCGGGTTCAAGCTCGAAGCTTGGCGAGCTTTACAAATGAGGCTCGTGTTCGGCTTGATAGGCGTTCGATGTTCGAACCGAGCGCTCGATTAGCTCGATAAATATGCTCGAATTTAAAATTTTAAGTGTTGCTCGTTAATAGGCTCGTGCTCGAATGATTCAACAAGTATTCGGTTCGTCAATACTCATATTTACATTCATAAAATCATACTAATTATATTTAAATTTTGAGATATATATAAAGTATATATATAATTTCAGGGTGTTCGATAGACTCGAGTTCGAACCGAGCCGAATATTACTATGTTCGAGCTCGGCTCGATTAATTTTTCAAACTTAAAATTCAGCTCGAGTTCGAGTTTGAAAGCTCGTTAAGCTCGGCTCGTTAGGTTTGAAACCAAGCTCGAACTCGAATAGTTCGATAAAAGTTCGGCTCGTTAACAGCCCTAGTCTGAACGATAAGGAGTAGGGATGGACTCGGGCCGGGTGGCCCGACCCGGAACCGGCCCGGGACCGGTACTGTTCCGGCCCGGTGGCCCGGTGGCCCGGTCAGTGACCGGTCCGGGTAGGCCCGGCCCATGGGTTTTCCGGTCCGGGCTCGGGTCACCCAAAACAAGGCCCGACCCGGCCGGGCCCGACCCCGGTTCGGGCCAAAAACTATTTTTTTTTTCAATTTTTTTTTTCAATTTTCGGATTGGGCTGGGTATTTTGGGCCATTTGGGGTGGTTTGGGGGGTTAGGGGTGGGAGGGGGGTTAATTAGGAAGAGGAAAACAAAAAAAAAATATAATTGGCCCGGCCCGGACCCGGACCGAACCCGGTGGTTACCCGGGCCGGTCCCGGATCCACCATTTCTGACCCGCCAGCCCGCCCGGGCCTAGGCCCGACCCGGACCCGGCCCGGACCCGAGTCCATCCCTAATAAGGAGTATTAAAAATGGGTTGAAGTAATAAGTCAAAAATGGTCTGAGTGAATTATTCAGATTTTAGAACAAATCCTAAGTAAACAAGAGTATATAAATGATCGATTAAGTCACAATTTCCACTAAGTCAATCAAGTCAAAAGTAAATAGTCCCTAGGCAAATTCTGCTATACTTTTTTTTTATTTTCAAATGTTGTATGGGTTAGAAGTTTTGCTTTGTCAGGTCTAGACTACAAGTTGCTATCGAAAATGGTTCATTGAATTGATTTTGTTAAAATTCAATTAGAGAACTTTTTCATTCAAGTAAATGAATGTCTATGATACAACATTTTTTGGTAAACACTACCTAATGTAAGAAAGTGACAGTAATAATGAACAGTAAAATATAATATTAATAAAATACGATATATATAAAATAATAAATTGTATCTAAAACAATTTATAAGATTTCTTTAAATATTTCAATACTTAGATGCGGGTGGATTTTACACGTATGTTAAAATTTAGATTAGTTTATGAGATTTAAAATTAGTATGTACTCCCTCCATACCGTTAAAATTGTCCAATTTTTCCTTTTCAGAAAATCCTACTGATGAAGTAAATGGCCCGGGAACCCCCGGCCCACAGACCCCCACTACTCCAATAAAGGCCCAATAGGCCCAGGAGGCACAACAGGCCCAAATCACGGCGTCCAAAGTACCAAGCAGCCCACAATGCGCACCAGGGGTGCCTTCGGCCCCTTGGCCGAAGGCTCTGAACCTCACAGAAGGGCCAAAACAGGGAAACAAAGTCACCGGGAAGAACGGCGAAAATCAGTAGCCCTCGGCAACTGGAGCCATCGGCACTAAGGGGGTCCCCTGTACTCAGAGCCCTCGGCTAGTCATCTACAACCGAGGGCGCCTTTTTCGACATAATATCCGCTCCACATGCGTATGGATCACCGTACCAAGTACGACGTCCCATCCAACAGCCGCATTAAATGCGGTCACATACGGTTGCCAGCGCCAACCAGTTGAGGTGACCTCTCGGCCAATGGACGCTTGACACGTGTCCCTTTCTGGCATTTATTGCTACTATAAATAGCACCCCATTTCCCCGTTGTAAACCAGGCTAAAAACACTGAATATTTTCTAATATACTTTCTCTCTCTATACTCATTTGCTCTGCCTTCTCTCTTGTTATTCCCCGTAATAACCCCTCGGATAAGTTAACCCCCGGGTACACAATCCATCACCTACTAAGGTTGTCTCATACCAAATTTGGTAACGTTTGTGTGACCCTAAATCATTTTTACTTTATTCTTACTTTATCAATTCAATATCAATCACATAAACTCATTTATCTTAATAATCATATCATCCTCTCAGGTCTGAATGTTAGTGGAACAGAGGTAATATTCCCTCCGGCCTATTAGAAGGTTTTCACTTTCCTTTTTTGGAAATCCCATATAAAGGTTCTCATTTCCATTTAGGAAACAATTAACAATATTAAGTGACAAATTAATCATTAAATTTTAAAAATAATACATTTACAACATCACAGTTATCAATACTAACTACATTATAATATATACCTATTAATCCAACCTTTGCACCCCATCTTCATTCACTGGTCCCTGACCGATTTATGACCTATTATTCCAAGTTATTTTCATATCTTTGGAAAACATTATGAGAAAATTAATTCTAACATGACTAAAAGATTATCTTTTCCCCGATCTATGACTTAGTCACTTTTTTTCCTAATTTGATGGGAGAATGATATGCTACCCACATTCAATATGCATTAGGTAAAAAAATTATTTTCCTTGTTTTTCAGTTATTGTACTCACGGTTACTAACTTTTGGTCATATTTTGATCAATTAAGTTTTTAAGTCATACAATGGGAAATCCACTCTCTTTTAGTAATAGTGGGGTAAATTTCCCAAACATTATACCATAATTCCACATTATGTGATCATAAGGTGGGAATTATGGTACAATGTTTTCCAAACATATGAAAATAACTTGGAATAATAGGTCATAAATCGGTCAGGGACCAGTGAATGAAGATGAGGTGCAAAGGTTGGATTATTCATGAATAATCAAAAGGTGGGACTATTGTAAGAAAACCGCGAAAAGGTTGGATTATTCGTTTCCATTTTCCCAAATTATTTCTCAAAATGCACTCAAACTTTTTTATTTAATTATTGTCTAAATAAACGTGACATTTTGCTACGAGAATCTTTCACCGAGACGAAGGTATTATTAGTTTTGATTTTTTACTAACTTTAACATTTACTTTCCGGCTTAAAGCTATTAAGAGCTTGTTTGGTACCTATTATAAGCTTCTAAGTCTTATTGGTCATTTTTGTTTATCTAAACACATGATTTTTTATTTTGTGCGTTGAATTATATAATAATCAATATAAGTGAGTTTTAATTTACTTTGTGATTGAGTGGATTGAAACTACCGTAATAATCATTAAAAAATATTTTAAATATCATATTTTTGCAAATCAATAATTTAGTGAAGTTGACTTGTTCAGAATTTCATCAATTTTAATAGTTTCAACTCATTTAAATGATTTCTATTTTATGAAAAGGATACTAAACAATACAATTGAAAATCTGCGAAAATAAATGATGTAACTAAAGTAATTGGCCCAAATGGTATGATCCGGTCCAATTAGTAAATCACATGCCCAAGATCTTGGAATAACCTAGCCCTATTTCCGCTTGTATTTATACCGTTTGTCTTTGGTGCATCAATCTCTTTCTACCGCTCATATCTCAGCCGACGGTCGTACGCAGTCTTCACCACGCCGTTCGTCCAACATACCGAGGTTAGTCGATCATATTCAGGCCGGAACAGTTATGGCAGTCGGTCCAGCTTATATATATAGGATTACGTTTTGACTGTATTTAGTTTTAATTAATTGATTAGGTAAGCAGAGGTCGAAGCAACTTCAATGGCTCCGAAAGGTGTGTAGCTTGAATTGATTGTTTCTTAAACATAGTACCGGAAATTTAGTTACCGATTGAAATTACTAGATTCTATGCTTCTCTTATGTGTTTCTGGGCTTGTGTAGTGATAATGACTATTAAATTTGGACCCTTTTGTTTCTGAGTTGTATTTTAACAAACATGTCGATCTTCTATGCATTTTGGGTTCAAAAAGCCGTCTTTTAGCTCCCATATGGCCTTGTAAGAAAGATTTGGATTCATCCTGTCGTGGAGTGAAAACGAAATTGAATTGAAAAGATTTTTATGGAGAAACCTATTCGTAAAGATCTATTTAATACAATGCCATTCAATTTGTTTGAAATGAAATAAATTAGAATTCTCAATTAAGATTAATGAGTTGTTATTAATGCAAAACTAACTAGTTGGAAAGCATAAGTCATACTTTTGGTCCACCACGCTACCACATATATATTAACAAAATGATTTAATGTGAGATGCTTGTGTAGTAAATGGACTGTATTAAACTGCTCTATATTTCACCATCTATTCATTTATCAAGTGTCAAGTCATATACTTCGTACTAGTTTTGAGAATTTACAAACTATTTGTGACACATCTAATATGAAAATCCACTTTAAGATTCTGTTTCTTCATTATTTTTTTCACAAATGGATCAACCCATACCATTCCAAACTATACCTCAAGAGATCTTTTTATTGTTCACTACCCACAAGTATGTTATCTATTTATTTGAATTTAAAATATGAAATTGGTCAATTAATTTTGATCGATACAAAGTATAATCCCATACTTATAACATAAAAGTAGCTATTTGGTTTCACAAGTATTTTCTTAAATATTTTACATATTGAATTTATTATTTACTTTTTGGACAAAATTGCCGGTCGTAGGACCAAAATCATAATATTTTTACAAAATTAGAACTGCCTAATGTTTGTTCCATCTGTGTCGCACATGTACTCCTATTTTAAGAAACTCAATTATTAGTTTCCAAATTTGCCCCTTCAGCTTGAGTAAATCGAGATTGAAATTCCCTCGTTCACAACTGGAGATGCTTTCCCCCTACTTCACGGGACGTACGTCCCCAACCGGACCCAACTGAAGACTCTTTCCCCCCTACTTCAGGGGACGTACGTCCCCAACTGTCTATTTATTGTCTACTTGTTGTCTATTTATTGTCTAGTTAATGTCAGTTATTTTCTAAAAGTAAGGGTATTGTGGTCAATGCAGGTTTAGTTGAGTCTTATGCTAATCTTCGGTCTTAGTTTTGGAAAATTAGTACGAGTTATGAATAGGAGTTACACTTACTCCTAGCTCAAGTTAAAGTTCATGAACTATTATACGGAGTATTTCAATTATTTATGAATAGGAGTTGAATACTTTTCTGAATTATGTTTTCAAATTTCGATTTGGTCTCAGGTGATGTTACTAAAAAGGCTGACCCAAAGGTACAAGCTGCAAAGGTCGCCAAGGCCGTGAAAGGAGGGACTACCTTCAAGAAGAAGGGAAAGAAAATCCGCACCAAAGTCACCTTCCACAGACCAAGGACATTTAAAAAGGAAAGGAACCCTAAATACCCCCGGATTAGTGCCACTCCTAGGTGCAAGCTAGACCATTTCCAAATTCTTAAATATCCTTTGACAACAGAGTCTGCAATGAAGAAGATTGAGGATAACAACACTCTTGTTTTCATTGTTGATATCCGTGCTGACAAGAAGAAAATTAAGAATGCGGTCAAGAAAATGTATGAAATTGAGACCAAGAAGGTCAACACTTTAATCAGGTATGTTCACAGTATTATTTGTTGTATTTATCCTTCCACACATTCATTTTTCTTCTATTTTACACCAACATATTTATCTAGATTCCTCATTATCCTTGAAGTAATGGTTTGCTACATCAAGTTTAAGATTAAATTTATATGCACAGCGGTTGTGCTTGCATTTATATTCTTTGTAAAATTCTGGAAGTTTGAAATTGTTGGGGAAAATAAAAGTAGCAAGGTAAGCTGTCTGTGAGACATTTTGAAGTTCAGAAACATTGCACGACATAAATCATTGGTCCTATTTCAATAAATTTTCTTTTTGTATTTTCCAAACTTATGTGGTATTCTATTAAAACATACTTGTAACTATATTTTCCTTCATGTGTAAAGATAACATACAAATGACTATAACTTAGGCCTGGTGGTACAAAGAGTACAAGTATTTTTTAACTGCATGTGTAAGCTAAGTTTTTGTGTTTGTGCTTGATCTTATTATGCTGCAACATAGGCCTGATGGTACGAAGAAAGCATATGTCCGATTGACTGCTGATTTTGACGCATTGGATGTTGCAAACAAGATTGGAATCATCTAAACCTAAAACTGTAATCTGTTGCAGCCCCAATTCTGAAATTGAAAGTTTTGTTACTTGCGTTGGAGTTGGTAGCTTGAAAATTGCCCCTGTAGCATTTCAGAGGCGTTTGATCTGTTTTTTTGCCATTTCTGAAATTCGATTTGGTAGTGTCATGTTATTCTGGAGATTATGAACTTAAATTGGTGCATTTTATTTAATCTTCATTTACTTTTCACAAATATATGTGCTTTGGTGTACTAGCAAGGAATTTGAAAAAGCACTTCTCAGCTTTTAACTTAAAACTGAAATTATTTTTTTCAATACTCGCTTGTTGCTTCTTAAAAAGCACTTTAATTGCTAGAAGCTGGTAAATATGTGCTTCTAATTGCTTCTCGATTTCTTTGTAAACAAGTTCAACTTTAAGAGAACAATTTTGTTAACCCCAAAATGAACATCACCCCACCCTCCAATGCTGTCACATGATGTGGCAATTAATTTTATGTTTATAATAATTGTTATAATTTTTTAATTTTTGGTTCAATTCTTTTGAAAATCACACTCCCTCTTCCGGAAAGAATGTTTACTTTCCCCAGTTTTTAAATTAATGTGCTACTACTTTAAATCAATATCAAAATAGTGTCAAATATGGTTGGTACAATGTGAAGTCAAACTAGACATTCTTTTGGCATGGATGGAGTTAATATTCTTAATTCTTTTGGGATGGATGGAGTTAATTTTTTATCCCGGGTGGTCCGGGATGGACTTGGACTCGGGTCCGGGCTGGGTCGGGGTCGGGCCTAGGCCCGGGTGGGCCGGTGGTTCAGAAATCGTGTTCGGGCCGAGCACATTATCATTTTTTTTTGTTTTCCTCTCCCTAATAAACCCCTCTTCCACCCTCAACCCCCAAGCCACCCCAAATGGCCCAAAATACCCAGCCCAACCCGAAAATTTAAAAAAAATTGAGAAAAAGAATAGGTTTTGGCCCGAACTGAGCCCGGACCGGAAAACCCACGGGCCGGGCCTACCCGGACCGGTCACTGACCGGGCCACCGGATCGGGCCGGGCCGGAACAGTACCGGTCCCGGACTGGTTCCGGGTCGGGCCACCCGGCCCGAGTCCATCCTTACTTTTGTAGTTACATGTAGGGTTGGACTCGGGCCTCGGGTCGGGCTTTTTGTGGTTTCTTGAGGCCCGAAACTGACCTGGGTAGCTACCGGGTCGGGCCGGGTTGGCCCGGTTATCTTATTTTTTTTTTCTAATTACTTCCCAAAAAAATGGCTAAATTATTACACCTCGAGTTTGAATTGACATAAATATAACTAATTTTTGTGTGCACAAAAAACGATCCCTCACTATCTTCTATGCCCTTCACTTTTTCTTTTCTTCCAACTTTTTCCAACTGTACGTAGCTATATCTGTACGTATCAATCCATTGAAGGAGAAGACCCAGATCACCACTTCTTCTTCATTGCCGCTCTCCTGCCTAGGGGTGGACCGGTTCCGGTTCGGGCCTGGTTCGGGCCTGGGCCTGGCCGGGCCTCAGTTCATGAAGAGGAGGCCCAGAACCGGCCCGGGTAACCCCCGGGCCGGGCCGGGTAACCCCCGGGCCGGGCTTCGGTTCTATTTTTTTTTGGGTTTTCCTAGTTAACCCCCAACCCTCTCCCTCACCCCCAACCCAACCCTAACCACCTCAAATGGCCCAAAATACCCAGCAAAATCCAAAAACTTAAAAAAAATTCAAAAAAAAAATAATAAATTGGCCCGGCCCGAGCCTGAACCGGCCGGACCGGTTCACCTTTTGAAGGGCCCGAGCCCGAACCGCCATCCCACCGGGCCGGGTGGCCTGAACCAGGCAACCAACCGGTTCACCGGGCTGGTTGACCTAGCCTGAGTCCACTCCTACTCCTGCCGTCGTCACTCATCAACTAGTGTTATTCTTCTCTTTTCTTCTTTGCTGCTGCAACCGCCATCGTTCTCTTGCTGTCATCACCTAGTTTCGCTTGAATCTGAAATCAGGCTAGCTTTTCTGTCGTCTGCATCTAAAATCAATTGCTTCTGCATCTTATTCTTCTCCTTCAATTTCTTCCGATTGTGGGGATTCGGTCGAAGGAGCGTTGACCTAATCCATGGATGAAAGAAGTGATTTTTCAGATCTAGATCCGACGGCTAGGGTTAGGTTGTAGAGGTGGTAAGGCTGGTGGGGTCCTGGCGGAGCTAACAAGGCTGAGATGGAGTCTGATATTGGCCGATAGGGGGCAGTGATGCAAAAATGGCTGGTCATTGGCCGCCGCCGCTGGCCAGGGGCTGGGGAGGATGCTGTCACGACGGCATGGTCATCGCAGGTTGCAACTCTGTTGCGCAGGGGTAGCGAATCTGGACTTGGCCTAGGGTTGGGGAGAGGATTAGATTGGGGTGGGCTGATGGGGGTTGGGCAGGGGGCTAGGTGGCGGCGGTCATCGGGTAGGGGTGGACCGGTTCCGGTTCGAGCCCGGTTCGGGCCTGGGCCCGGCCGGGCCTCGGTTCATGAAAGGGGAGGCCCGGAACCGGCCCGGGTAACCCCGGGTCCGGGCAGGGCCGGGTGGCCCGAACCGGGCACCAACCGGTTCACCGGGCCGGTTGGCCCGGCCCGAGTCCACTCCTATCATCGGGCGACACTGGGTGGGACAAATCCAGTGGAAGTCACCGGAGTTGGGTGGAAGTCACTGGATCAGTGACTGGAGTTGGGTGGAAGTCACTGGATCAGTGACCGAAGTTGGGCGGAAATCACTGGTTAGTGTCCAGAAGTCACTGAATTCATGACTGGTGAAAGTGGCGGCGGTGATGATGGTGCCAGCGGCGGTGATTATGGTGCCGGCGGCAGCGACAGTGACGACGATGCCGTCGCCGCCGGCGGTGCTAGCCGCTAGGGTTGGTGGCCGCGGCAACGATGCTGGGTTTTGTGCTGGCTATCGAACATGGATTAATAATAAAATATTTAATAGGAATATTAGAATATAAAATGAATATTAAATGCAATGAATAAATAACTCTTAGTCACATTTTTGGAATATTTGAAAACATGTCATATTTGTGTCTTTTCTAATTATTATAGTAACTAGCACCATACGCACTTCGTGCGAGGTGTGCCCAATACAGAAAAAATTAGTGACTAAAATGGATCATGTGGATATATTTATATGATTATGTAAATGTATTCTATATTGAATGTGTTGATATAAAAAGAAGTATGGTATTTGGTTCAAGGTTAATATGGGAGTTCTGAATTAGTAGGAGAAATAATAATTGTCTCAAGCTTGTAAAATGCAAATTTGGAATGATTTAACCAAACCATTTTTCTAAATGTGTATATGTATACATTTATTGCATGAAGTTTAGTAGTTTGTGAAGTTTGATCAAGGGATAATTCAAATTGTGATTTTTTTCATATTTCTATTGTCATACAATAATTTGTGTAGGCTTGGTACTGGACCGTGTAACGGGCCTAATCTCCTTAAGCCTGAAGCCCACCCAGTCCTAAAACCTGGCCCAGTGCGTCCGAATCCATCCCTATGTGTAAGTAACATATAAGTATTAGATATTGTGGTATAAACATAGTCTACTTTTATAGGGTGGGGTTTTTATTTGATTTGTAATAATATGTGAATATGTGGAATGATATAAAGATAACTATGGCACTCCCAAGAAATGAATGATTTTGATTTGATATCTTAAGGGGTGTATACAATATGGGTTCTAAAGAATTTAGAATTTTGTCAGAATTTAGGTGTTCCTGATTTGGATTTCTATTACTACCTCCGTAACTCTAGAATCTTCCCAGTTTGACTTTTTTTGGATCAAACTTTATAAACTTTGACCATTAATTATTCAAAACTCACATTATGTTATGATTAAAAATTTATTTCATATACCTCATTGTAAAACATATTATTTGAATGTTAATTTATTATGAATATTATAAATATAGATATGTAGATATTTAGAGTCAAAGTTCAACTTAGAAGACCGTGAAAAGTCAAAATGGGAAGATCTTTATGTTACGGAGGTAGTATTACTTATTTGGATGGATTTTAAATGATTTTGATAGAATTGTATATGCAAAACAAATCTATAGGAAATATTGTCATAACCCATCAAATTTGTAAGGATTTCAAAAGAAATAAACACAAAGGATAGTTGAACAATTCTATTTGTATGTACACGTTCTTATACACCTGTCTGACGGATCATTTTTTTTTGTCTGAATCAGCGTGTTTTGTCTGTCACATACAAAAAAAATATCCACAGACAAAACACACAAGTTTGTCTGTGGATCTCGTTCACAGATAAAAAATTGAACTACCGCAGACACGTGTATAAGAACGTGTATAAAAGAACGTGTACAAATTCCAAATATTTAGGTAAACAATAGCAGTACTAAAAATTTAGTCTTCACTTTTTAAAACAAATACCAACACTACTAAAAATTGTCTGTGTTGCTAAATATTAATAGGTTCAAACAAACAGGGTGATATGCGGAGAACTATATTTATATAATGATTCAACAAGTTTAAAGAAAAAAAATTAAATGAAAAATAGAATTTTACGTTTCAATAACAGGCCATTTTAAAGGAAATGATTTTTTGAAGAAACTTTTGAAACGAATGAAATGTAAAACCAAATATGGAATATTAACGCATTGAAATGTGTACCAGTTGAATTATGGACTGGAGGCCAAGAATAATTAAGAACCAGAACCGGTTTGAAAAAATGTAAGAAGTTGTTACCGTAGTGGTCATATTGCGGTTATATTGAAAATCATGGGTGAAAATGTGAATAGGTGAAATTATATTAAGGTACTAAAGTACTCCCTAGATATTTTATACTTTAGTTAGTCATTGAGCTTTATTAAGCAAATATCGCGAGAAGCAATGTACTGAAACTTTTATATTTTTAGCTTACAAGGCAGAGTTTGAAAAGGAAAATCGATTGTATAATAATATACTTTAAGTAATATAGGGCATTTTATGAAAATGTTCAACCAGCCCCTTGCATCAAAAGACATTCTCTAAATACAACATCAACTATCAAACAAAAACACATTTTTTCTGTCTTAGGAAGGGTTAGACAATATTCAGTACATGAAACACATTAACAATTACTCCGTACAAACATAAGGAAAACTAATAGGTAAAATAAATTTTGTTAATAATATTATGTGTATGTCCTGTTCCGATTGAATAACTGCTATTTAAAAGTGCCAGATGATATTTTAAGTTTGAAACGTTAGAGGAGATGCAACATCCTTAAAGTCAATATATATTCTCTAATCTCCATGACACTGAAACTGAGTTTACATTTTCTAGATTTGTATCGTTGTTTCCATTTTCTAGATCTCAATAGCGATCAAACTATACTATAAATAGTTATAACTACTGATCTAAAGATCGTTCATTAAACTGGTTTTTAATAATGAACAAAGGCTCCATAGTACTCGTCTAAAGCGAAAATTTTGAAGTTATTGAAAGTAGTGTGATGTAAATATTTATCCTTTTCACTGCCAACAATCGGTGTGGTGAACTTAAATTTAATAAAATTACAGTTAGGTGGTGTGTATGAGAAGTACATTGCCAGAAGTTATGTAATAGGCATTTTAGCGAATACTATGTAGGCATTACTTGAAGACATTGATTGTGGGCATGTTTGAAATGATTTAAATCTATCGTAATATGTATATATGTGATCAAACATTGAAATTCCAGATTGGACTGCTATATATGGTCGTGCACTCTGTATAAAAAATAAACAATTTCTATGAAATTGATCACATATTCACACATGCACTGATGCACCCGGTAAGTTGGTTTTTTTTGTAGTTGGTTGGGATTGGTGATTCTCAAATACAAAACAAACACATTTCTTTTCTTAAACTGCACGACAATTGTCTTTTTACAAGTTGCCAGTGTTTTTGAATAATAAATCTAAGAATATAATTAAATGTGGTGATGGTTGAGAATATAAAGCCACGATTTGAAAAAATTAAAAAAGTTAACTTTTTATAAGACAAAATGAAGTTGTTTAAATGTAGTAAATGCAGACCATGAGCAGATGAATTTTAATAAAGTGGAAGTGACTGGAAATACCTTTTCCGGCTTGTTTGTCGTTGGTAGAGACAATGGTTAAATCAGTAGGAAGAATCTGGACTCTCTGCGTATGGATGGCGATTGTTGGAGGACTTGGAGCATTGCGGTTTGTGGCTGTTAGAAACCGTATGAGTAGAGAGTATGAGCCGGCGTTTGGGATTACGAGGCTTGAAACGAATGCGTGAAATTGAAATCTTTCCGTTTGAGAAAACGGCACAAATGGATGGAAAAAGGACCAACCTAACGTTGGTTGGCTTTTATTATATAAGCAGAGATACCGATAAAAAAAGCCCCCCACACCCCAATACCCCAAAGCCCCAAACTCGTCCAAAACACTCGACCCAACCCATTTACCTCACAAAGTTTTTGGAAAATAATTTTTTTGGCCCGAACCGTGTCAGGCCCGGTCGGTTCCTATTTTGGCGATTCGAAGCCCGCCCCTAAAGTACCCAGTTCAGGTATAATGCACCCAGCCCGGACACGAGCCGGCGGGTCGAACCGGTTTGTAACAGTAGCTGGTCGGGCCGGTTCTAGTCCTGGTCACCCGACCCAAGTCCATCCCTAGTTACATGTAGGGGTGGACTCGAACCGCCTGGCCGGATCTCGGCCGGGTGCTATATACCCGAACCGCCCATTTTCAGGACGAGCTTCGGGTCCCCAGAAAATGAACCGGCCCGGGCACGTTCCGGGTATTTTTTTTGTTTTTCAATTTTTTTGGGAGGTAAATGGGTTGGGTTAGGTGTTTTGGATGGGTTTGGGGTGTGGGGGGTAGGAAGTAATTAGAAAATAAAAAAAAATAAGGTAACCGGGCCGACCTGAACCGGCTTGGGCCTGACCTGGACCCGGTAACTACCCGGGCCGGTTCCGGGCCTCAAGAATCACCAAAAAAGCTTGGTCAGGCCCGGCCCGAGTCCATGTCTAGTTACATGACATATACTATGTATAAGATTTAAAAGAAATCTAGATAATTATATACACAATATTTCTTAACAATATTAAACATTATTGAAAGTTTTATACTGTTTCAAGCTTGAATTTAAAATTATGATGTACTGTACAACATTTGTGATAAATGAAGTTTTTAATTGGGTTGAAATTTGTTGGTTTGGCCAAAACTGGTTTGGTCTTGTTTGGTAAATATCTGGTCTCTATGTATCTTTGGACAATGGACAGTATGTTTTTGGAAATAGAATTTAACTTATCAATTCGTTAAGGTACAAGTGGCGTGTATTCATATCCAAGATTTTTTCGCAAAGTTTTAGTCCTTTTTTTGTTTTAGATTAGTGCAACTCTTTATAATTTTCACATGGATTAATTTCTAATTTGTCTAACAACCTAAGCCTTGGTCACAGAAGAGTTATTGTGGCTTGCATTACTCTACTTCTAAATGTTTCAGATCGATTCATTAAAATTTCTTAGAGATGATTAGTAAAAATGATGCAAACTAAATGTTAATTATTCATGTCTAATTTGAAACAAAAGTAATTTAAGAGAAAGGGAAATGACACGAAAAAGAAGGAAATAAGTTTACTTAGATATGTATTTAGGTGTCAAACAGAGGATGCTTTAGCTTGATGATGGAAAAAACTAACGAAATTAAAAAGTTGAAAAATAAAATATAATTTGGGAATGAACTCACACCAAATTTGGGAAAAAGTTGAAAAATAAAATTCCATTATATTTGGGGGAGACTAAAAAATTAACCCTTAATTAACCCTAAATTATACGTAGTACAGAGTATTATATATGGAAGCTGGTTAATTGACACATGAAGCAAACTGACTAACTGAGTACTTCACTTAAGAAGACTTTGGGGCAGTTCTTTGTTTTTGTCTGCATTCAATGTTAGCAATAGATTAAGCCATAGTTAGGCACATTGTTGTTGCTTCTCAAAAATTCAGTTGGTAAGACAAAGGTTGTTATAGCTAGAAGACCTCTGGTCATCACACAATTTCACTCACAATTGGCAAGACATGCTTTCATATGGATCATATCACAACCACAACTCTCAGCTTTTGCAAAAATCATTACTCCATATATATCTCATAATGTCATTGCCCACAAAAGTATTAATATGAACACTAAGTTTCTTTCTGGTGCCTTCCATTATTTAGTGTTTCAAGAAGCCCTTCTCCTTCAAGCTTTCAACACTCTCCTTAAGGGCCTGTTTGAGAGGAGTGAGCACAACCCCAAGTTCCTTTGCTCTTTTGTTATTCACTTTGTATGCTGGCACAAGCGGATTACCATCCGCACACCTGTTGCAAGGATGAGCCAAACAGCATTTCAACTTATCACTCCCTTGCCTCGGAAAATGTCAAACCAAACAAAGGGTTAAATTTCAAAGTAATCACAATTACCTTTGAGGAAATTTGAGATTAGGGTAAAGTTCACCGAGTATTGCAATAAGATCGAGGGGGTTAGCGCATCTCTCCGCAACATAGTACCTTCCATTCGCCTCGGGTTTCTCAAATGCTAATATATGGGCATCTACAACATCTTTGACATGTACCCACCCATATGCCACGTTTGGATATGTTTCAGCACCTACACAGAATCATTTCTAAGAATCAATGGTTGACACTCCATTTATTGTTGCTGGGGGAAGGTACGACATTATGTGATTTGGATATTCTTTTTTGGATCTCCACACACAACCCAATTTTACAAAAGTGTCATTTGTAGTCACCAAAACACAACCTTTTGAACAATAAAAGGTTTGAAGGACTTCTTGAAACACTAAATAATGGAAGGGTAATGCTGTTGTTGTATTCTTAAAAGAACAATAAAAGAGAAAATTTGGTCAAACAGTGGCAGATACATATATGAAAGGGTAGACCTAGTAGTAACCAAATGGGAAGCTTAGAGCAATTAGTACCGTCTATTAAGCTCAAAACATTAGCAGAGCTAGTGTTGAGTGATGGTTGAAGCATGGGACCAATCACACACGGCGGGTTAATTGAAACCAAGTCAATGCCTCTTTCTTTGACAAACTCCCATGCTGCCTTCTCGGCCAATGTCTTTGAGAGCACATACCACATCTGTAACATGTTTGTTTGGTGCCATTAGTATGCCATAATCTTATACGCATCTAATTAGAATTCAGAAAAACAGTATATATATTTCGAGATTGGTTTACTCTAGAATCTAAATGCATAAAAACCAACACATACAAAGTATTGAATTAAGGCTAAACAAAAAGTACACATATTTGAAGTTTGATTTACTCTTACTGCATATAAAACTCACATTCATAAAGTACTGAATAGATACAGTTGTGCTATAATGAAACATTATAGAAACCAACCTTGTTTGCTCTGCAATAATCTGGGTCTGACCACCACGTCTCATCAATGACTGTGTCAGCAGTTCGAGGATTCCGGTTGAAGGCAATTGCAGCTTCAGAGGATGTCAATATAACTCTTTTAACAGAAGGTTTTCTGGCCACCGATCCTAGCACATTCAGGGTTCCCTTCACAGCTGGATCAATCAAATCTGCCTGTTGAATGAGGAATAATGTGAATCATGAATGCATGCGATTAAAAAGCACAGCTGACAGTGGTGATAGAGAATTAGCTTCTATTCAACTAAAGTATATAATACGGAGTAAATCATAAATCATTGAAATACACATCAATTTATTTAAGAACAAACAAGAAACCCACTTGGGGATCAGGGGTGTGATGAAGGAAGAAGGGAGAAGCACAGTGAAATACACCCTCACAGCCATCAATTGCAGCATCAAAAGACCCTTCTTCCAATAAATCTGCTTTGAACAACTTAAGCCTCTCCTTTGCTCCTTCCAGTGACAGCAAGTGACTCACCTTCTTTGGATCATCTGTTTGTTTTTTTCATAATAAAAAATTACAGATAAAAAGTGTTAAGTATACTGGTCAAATATGCAATACTCTTTCAATGGATAAATTACCAAATTCAATAACACCAATTTGCAAAAAATTCGATCTATATGGGTATAGTTTTCTTCCCTGAGTAGAAGCTAGGGTTGCAAAATTCAAGAAAAATCGAAAAAGAGGAGAAAATGTGCAGTAAAAAACACTGACTAGGATAACGAACAGTGGCATTAACACTGTACTGAAGGCGGAGGAGGTGTTTGATGAGCCACGAGGCGATGAAGCCCGAGCCTCCAGTTACGCATACCGTCGTTGCCATCCCTTCTTTTGTGGAAAATGGTTTTGTCTAATCGTCTCTGTTGTTTGAACTCTGGTCTAGTTGTTGCCTGGGAAGTGAGCTATGGCTTCTTATCTATCTATATATATATATATTGATTACAAATTTACAAGCCAAAATGATGCAAGGAGTGACATCAAGTACGTGGCATATGAGCTAAGCGGTGACACAGCATAATTTAATGCCATAATTTAATGTCATAATTGATTCTATTTTATATACTCCCTCCTCCCTTCCGAAAAGGTTGACGTTTTTTAGATGTTCCAAAAAGATTTGTCATTTTTATTTAAAGTAAGGAATATGTGATTAAATTTAATTTTTTCTCTTTTACACAAATTTCAACCACACCGTTTTTATTTTATATAGTGACATCAAGTACGTGGCATATGAGCTAAGCGGTGACACAGCATACCTCACAAAAGGACGCATTATCCATTATTTTTTATTTCTTTAATTATTAAAAATTGTAATAATTTTTTTATTGGATATCCGATTTTTATAAATTTTATATCAAATTTTTTTTATTTTTCATGATCTATCAAATGAGACTAATATTGCTTATGTCATTTTAACAAATTATTTTGAAGTTACATTTGATAATGTATCATGACGTTACATCTTCTTCTGCGCGAGTTACATCTTATTGTACGCGAGTTACATTTTAATATACGCGAGTTACATCTTAATGTATGTGAGTTATACAATGAAATAAACCCCTGTTACATCTTTCATTTTTATCATTTGAAAAATAGTGTATGAATATGAAATACAATATACTTATTTTAGTTGGATTTATAAAATTTTGTATTAAATTGGCAAAGAAAAAAATTAATTCAATTATAATTGAATTAGTTCAAAATAACGATAAGTAAAAAAATCACAAATAATTAGATATAACTCACACATAATTACATGTAACTCGCGCATAAAGTATGTAACTCGTGTATAACAAGATGTAACTCACACATAATTACATGTAACTCGCGCATAAAAGTATGTAACTCGTGTATAGCAAGATGTAACTCACACATAACAAGATGTAACTCACACATAATAACTTGTAACTGAAGTATAAGATGATGTAACTTCGTATATTATCAAATGTAACTCCAAGCTAGAAGCAAAATAAACAAACTCAATATCTTAAAAACCTCTAAAACATATAAAAGTGATAAAAAAAATATATTATAGAAAAAGTGTATGCATATAAAAATATATTACAAAAAAATGTATGAATGTAAAAAATTAAAATTACATAGGCAATATTGGTCTCATTTGAAAGATCATGAAAAATAAAAAATTTTGATATAAATTTTATAAAAATCGGATCAAAAATAAAAAAATTATTAACAATTTTAAGAAAAAGAGAAATAAAAAATAACAAAGGGTGCATGGTGCTCACCATGCACCGGTTCCACGGTATAAGCACTGCACATGATGCCATCGTCTTGACAAAAATGCCAATCACAAATCCTTACTATCATCATGAAAATTTAATGCCATAATTGATTCTATTTCATACGGAGTATATTTGACAGTAATTAAGCCTTTTAGATAATAAAATGAAAAAATGGCACGGGTATCACCCCATGACTTTTCATTTCCAAATTTATGACCCTTTTCTTTTTTTCCAAAAAAGTTATCTCGGCTTCTCTCTTCATTAGCGCAAGGTAGCTGCCATGGATGCAAGACACGATGCTCCAACGCCCTCCGCCGCCACAGCTTCAGCCGCCGCCACCGTCACCGCCGCCCGCTCCTTCTTCTTCTCATTTCTTGCTGAACGCGTCCCATCTTCTTCGTTGCTCGATTGCCGCATCTCTGCCGCGCTTGTGCTCGCTTGACTGAAGCCATCGGTGCTCCATCGTCTTGTGTGGTTTGTGCCTTCATCGTCATCGACCTTTCATATCTTCTCTGGCGACGGATTGGATTTGGAGCTGCACGACTCGATTTGGGGCTGCCAGTTCCGGATCTGCCAACCTAGGTGGACGACGACCAAGATTTTTGGGGCAGTGGATGCCGGATCAGCTGGATCCACCGTCCTCGAAGTCGGAGCTCGGCGTGGATGACGGTGGTTGAGTTAGGTGGGCAGTCACTGTGGGAGTTGGGCGGGCAGCCACTTTGGTCGGGGTGGCGGCAGTCACTGGCGTGTGGAGTCACTGTGGCGGCGCAGTCACTGGTGGGCAGAGTCACTGAGACGTCGCAGTCACCGGCAGACGAAGTCACTGTTGCGGTGGTGACGACGACGGCCAATGGACGAGCAGTCACTGAGGTAGGGTGGCCGGAGTCACTGTGGACGGAGTCATTGTGACTGGAGTCACTGTGACCGGAGCAACGACGGTGGTGTCAGTGACAAGTGCGGTGGCAGTAGTGACACGAGCGGCGGCACAGTGACATAGGCGGTGGTCAGAGTGACATTTGAATAGTGACATAATAATCTTGCGGTGACATAAAAATACAGTGATATAATATTTTTCCAAATATGTGACCTTCTTAGTCACATTTTTGTCCTTTTAAAAAAATGGTCACATTTTTGGAAATCAGCTTTAAATTGATAATATTGAAGGAACAAACCCTAATAAAATATAATAATTTTGTTTTGAAATTCTCAAAAGTTTTTACTCATACTTAAGATAATTTCTTAAAAAAAAACAGGTTTAGGACTGGAATCCATTTTATTTTGACATAAAAATAAAATAATTTTATTGTCTTGTTTTCAATTTATTCAACTTGTTGAAAAGTAATACTGGGTATATAAATATTTGTGAGTTTTGATGGAGATACTTCACTTTTTACCCTTATGCATACTAGGTTTGGGGATTGGAGCTTTAAAACCATAAAAGTCGATCCGAACCGAACTAAAATCATCGGATCGATTCGATTCCTAACAATAGGAAATTAGGGGAGTTTCCTAATACGATCTCAAAATCCTATAAACGGTTCGGTTCTAGTAGTAAATGAAATATAACTACTACAATTGATGTTCATATATATATATATATATATATATTTGAATAAAATATAAAAATGTAGGGCTGACCCAAAATCATGTCTTTTAAACTCTCGTCTTTTAACATAATATTATCACTTTTATCTCTACACGTATTCCCTTTAAAATTCAGGAAATTTTATGGAGTCGTATGACATAGGTGGACACACCACAATCATTCATTTTATGAACCTCCACTTACTAAAAAGTTGAATGGTTATTGTGGAGTCAAATGAGTATGACTATGAGTAATACGTAAATTGTTGTCATTGCCCACCATGACCTCGTCAGTACCCGAGCTGAGTAAGTTGATGAAGTGGGAGATTCTCTAGATTAGAGGTAATGTGAAGACTTCCCCACTATCTAACAACAATGGAGGAGAAGTGGGTGCCCCAAGAATACGGTTACTGCAGGACGTTGAGCAGAGCACTGCCATGTTGTAGGTTGAGAGAAGGACCCTCGTATATTTGGAGCAAGCAAAGAGGAAAAAGACCTGATAGACGTAATTCAGAAAGGGGGGCATTGACGAGCAGTGTGACCTTGAAATTTGCAGGCCTAACAATAGCCAAAATAAGAACGAGGAGGATTTGAAGGTTTACAACTAGTGTATGTGGTTGTGGCATCGAGAGGAGTGTTGATGCTCCATAGAGGAAGAGTTTTGTTACCCAGAGTAGTAAGTGTGTCCACCATGACCACATATAGATGCTTTTGTAGTGGTATGAGCAGTAACCGAGAGAGTAGAAGGAGTGACCTCATTCTGAATTTTGAGCTCTCGGTTAATGAGCTTTTCGTGGAGTTCAGTGAAGGGGATACATGTCTCCAGACTTTCAACAGCACCAACAACAGGTTTATAGTCTTCATCCAAGCTGTCAAGAATTATTTCTATAAGATCTTCATGGTCTAAAGTTTTACCAGGGAGGGCGAGTTCATCCGTGGTAGTCTTGAGCTAATGCATATAGTCTGTGATGGATTTGTTTCTCTTGACAGATTTTTGAATTTGTGATATGAGTTGTTCGATGTGGCTCCAAGAAGGTTGAGCAAATATGGACGAGAGCGTATCTCAACCATCTTAAGAGGTAGTTAGATGTTGAATAAGAGGGACAATAAATAGAGGGAGATAAGGTGCCAATAAGAGAACCAAAGAGAAACTTGTCTTGTCTTATCTAGGAGAAATATGCATGGTTGAGAATGGTGGCGTCAACAGAGTGATGGTCGCAGGTGGACATGGGTGAGTACCATCCACATAACCTTCAAGAGAATAGTCAGTTAGAAGAGATAAAATCTGAAGCTTCCAAGAGATGAAAAATTGGTGGATGTCAGTTTGATGACATTAACAAGATTAATAGAGATTAGAGGCTAGGTTAGGTTGGTTGAATCAGAATTAAGAACAACAATGGAGGTATGAGAGCTTTCTCGTTCAGAAGCCATGGAAGAGAGGGGCGGGAAAAAATTTAGGGATTAAGAGGATCTGTGATATGCTCTGATATCATATAGTGCATATTCATTTGATGATTAAATGAGAGTTTACACCATGTATATACACAAGCATAAATGAGAGATATAGATAGGATAGTCTAACTAATTAGAAGATAATAGGTAGATAAGTAATAGTTCTTACAAGATAATATCAAAATGAAATATATATAATGATGATGATGATGGTGATGATAATAATTAAATGAGTTTATCCTTATCATAGGTTTGTAGTCACTTGTAGTACTCTAGCCACTTGGCAAAGTCATGAGGGGAATGGCACCGAAGGGACTCTTCAAAATGAATAACTCCCAAATTCTTGTTCATGATGCAAAAGATCAAGGCCTCGAACCATGTCGTTCTGCAATTATGGAACGTTGCGAGAACAACGTCTGACCTTCTCTGTTAATACACATGGTTCTATCATAAAAGGTCAACCTTATATGAGTATTAGCCCAAAATCTTAGTGTTTTATTTTTGGGAAAAGGGTCAAATAGGCCCTCGAACTAACTTAAAAAGGGTAAATCACCCCTTATGTAGGAGGTTCTGTCCAGTCGTCGCCATTTGAAGCGGTTCCCGGTGGAATATTTTGATGAAATATTTTGAGCGTCTTCTTCATTAAGTC